GGTGCGATAGTAGACTCCAGTTATAAGATTATAAATTAAATTTCCAAGAGAAAGTCGGTTCTTTACATATTTTCTAATTACCTTCGAAAATATATTAACTCAAAAAAAAAATAAACAATGCTTCATAGATCGATTTTTTTAAATCTAACTTCATAAAGTTCTTTAAAAATATTTTGTAAATGAGGCCATAAGAGCTTAGGGGGAGAGTTACAACACAAAAATACATTTAAGGCGCAGCGAAGCACGCCGGGTAATTGCTAGTATATAAATATTTATGATAAATCAGCATTCGGAATACAATACATTTTTCGAAAGGTATTCCCTGCGATATTTTTAATGAGTGCAGGCATCGAGTACGTAGTGGCATCGACGAATGCAAGGATGGCAACATAAATATTGCTCAAATATGTTTTCCCTTCAACTGTGGTAAGTGGGAGGCTTTATAGAGACACTGAAAGCTGTGTGCAACACACAAATTGCAAATGTACTCATTACTCAAAAATCAGGCATCTTCACTTCGCTTCTCTTCACGAAAAGCGTAATATTTTCATTTAGGAAGGAGTGTTAAAAAATTTACATTGACGTAGGGGCAGAATTTTTCATCTGACTTCCAAAACGGAATGTGTATTAGACTAACAGATTTGGCCAGTGCTTTTTAAATTAGCTATAACCTCGGAGCGAACCAGGACAAGGGATGCAGTACTCTCAAATAGCCAGGACGCGTTTAAGACCTTTGGCTCGATCATGTTTCCTTGAGCATAATAAAACAATAAAGAGAGAACGTTACGGCTTTGGTTATCTGGTAGCTATGTCGTTTCGCTGATATGGGTGCTGGGGTATAGCAGTAATCATGGCAACGAAATTGCCGACGAGCTAGCCAGAAACGGGTCGGCCCTGGATAGCTCAGTAATAGAAGATGTTATTTTCCATGTCAGCTATGTAAATAAAGACTGGATCTCTTAGCAATGGCGCAGTACTGGAAAAATATGGCTTAAAGTATATAGAAGGACTTACAATCCTCTAGGGTCTGTAGGAGACTGTAGATCACCTACTGCGCAAAATTCACTTACCACATACATAAAATAAACAGTAGCGCATCTCATTGCAACTGGTTGACCTTGGACAGAACTAGAAATAGCTTTCGGCAAGAATATCGATTAAAGCCAGTGACTTCAAAGTCGGTGCAAAATCCTATAAGGGTTTCACTACCACACATGGATACTTACGTTTGAAGTTGGCTTGGTTGAGGCCCTAAAAAAAAAAAAAAAAATTGTTCCGCAGTGTTTATACACATTTTTCAGGAGTTCTCAATCTCATCATAATTTTTTTTTACTGGGCGTTAAGGTTTCAATATTCTGGTCAAAAACTCAATTATTTTACTTGAGATATCTATATATATATATATATAAATCGACTCCAAACATAATTCCTTTCTTCAGAGACCTATAGTAAAAATAGGTGAGACATTTTTTTTTTTTAATATTTTAACCCCTTTACCCTCATCTGAATGGAACTTTTGGGCTCAACAGGGTAGGGGTATGATGTGCTGTGGAACGATTTTTCGCCATCCCTTGTCATATTTGATTTGGAGACAAGGCGGTTTCGCGTGTCCCCATTTTCAATGCCCTTTTTCGTTCACATTTACACCATAAATTTTTTTCTAGTAGCGGTTTACTTGACTCAATTCGAGTATAATTTGTTTCTCCAAAACCGCTTTGCATCAGTAATTTATATAATAAGCATTAAAGGGGACGGAATGCTGTCTATCAATTACCTTCAAAAAAATGCCGCATCATTTAGTCGGCAATTGAAAAGTTTATCGATAAAATTGAAAAAAAAACAGGGGGCTAACTTTCGTAGAAATACTTATTTTTTTTTTTTTTTTTAAATACGTTAACTTTTAGAAACGATTGTAATATTTTCAATTAAAGAGTAGCTAACTTCTCGGTGCCCTTTGAAGCGAATGAAAAGCAAACTCTGAATTTAATGCAAGTAATTTCGCATTGCACATTTGCAGGCGCATTATTTTATAAAAAATAGCTATACGCACAAATACTTGCATTGTGTAAAGCGTCGCATCTGAAAAAGATTCTACTACTACTACTACTGTGAAGCGAAATATGTCGCCATTATGTAGCTAACTTTCACTTAGCAGGCGCGAGCAAGTACCAAATAAAGAAAGTCACAAGCATGAGCTAAGGCTAATATTTATACAAAAATGTTTGGTCAACATCCAATACTCGCATGCTTCTCTAATGGAATTCTGCATTTTTAACTTCCAATCATTTAAAATAAATTCTCAATTTATCTCCCTTAATAGCATCATTTTCTTTTTATTTTCACATTTGCATTGACCGACTTTTCTTGCGCATACGTCAACGCACATGGCCATACGCATATTAGCATAACATATATGGCTGCTTTTTTTTGTTTTTTTTTTGTTGTAGAAATGTTAAATTCATTTCGCCTTAAAGTTCTTCAAAATATCTGCATATGAGTAGGTACATTTGTGTATGTTATGGCAAAAAATATTCAAACGCTTCGTTTTCTCATTTATTTTTATTTAATTTTTTTTTTATTACTCTTCTTTTTTTGTGGTAGAACTCCATATTTTATGCCAATATGTGCAATCTAAAATGATGTGGTGCCCATTTGCCGCACTGCAGCCATTATTTAGCTAAACATCGCACATACATACATACATACGCATGTACACACACACACACACACACACACACACACACACACAGACAGTGTGTTTCATGTGTGGAACAGATAAATTTTCTATTGAAATTTTTACTAACCTGATGTGCAAAACAAATTCGAGAGTAAATATTTCAATTCAGCCTCCACAAATCGTATGTGCGGAGGAGTCTGGCATAGTCTATGTATGTGTGTACGTGTGTATGTGTGTATGTAATTTGAAAATGGCGGCAACAACGCTTTAGATTAATGGGTTGAATAAAAGAGTTGAGCATAAATCCAATGTGGGTTGAAAGAATGAAGATTTGCAGATATTGAAAATAAATTTAGATTTTCTTGCCTGCTGATTTGACTGCGACTGCGGGTGTATGTACATATGGCTGTATGTGAAGCACTAATGGAATTTTTATTTCTGCGAACGCAAGTGCTCGTTTTTTTTTTCAAAGTGAATTTAAAGGTTTATGCATTGGTATGTATGTATGTATGTATGCACATTATGTAAGTGCAATATGTGTATATAATAAGGGTATAAAGGTAATTTGGAAACATTCCTATTTAAAAAAAAAAAAAACTTTCAAATCGACGCCAAACGAATGCAAACGGTTAGAGGACTTCCTTGAACCAATCGCCTTAAAGGGCCCATACATGATACCAACATGATAAAATATGGTGAAAGTATTCTGAAATCAAACCTTTTTTTAAGTTTCAGCAGCTTTTTAGGGTTGTGCCGTCAATGGCGAGCAGGTCGGAGAAAATTATTATTAGCAGGAAAATTGTTTGTTATCTAGGTCACCATAACAGCGGATTGGTGTCAAACCTAGCAATACTTTATTATTAAAAGAGAAATATTACTATTACGCACCAAATGTTAATTGATTAATCAAAAAAAAGTTATACAGAAAGTATGTATGCACGTATGTTTTCGACTCAAAAAAAAAACCAAGTTATGTATGAAATAAATTTTTTAAATTTTCCTGAAGCCTAACTTTACGCAACTATGCAATAAATTTAAATGTTCACTTACTTGATTTATTTGCGCAATTGTCAATAAGAAAAAATACCCAGAGTGACTAATAGCTTTGGTTTGTATTATTTTTATATTTTATTTTTTTCCTTCAAACATGTATAAAAATTATAAAAAAAAAGTATAAGTAACTCTTCATTATATCAATAAAATCGTGGATTTTTAGTAACATTGTGCAACATAGGTTTATGTATATATGTAAGTTTTTATGCATGGGAATATTTATGTACAAACTAAAAAAATTATATTCAAAACAGAAAAAATACTACATTTTTAGTAATACATATTTACATAATTTATAATCAAGAACAGCATTGTAGCAATATACAAACACAAACTCGTACAAATATATATGTATTTGAATGTCCTTTCGACTTTAAACTTATTTTTATTTAAACAAATTTTTGGCACACAACTGACTATGTTAAATTTTGAACTTTTGTCACTTAATGCAGACATGATTCTTTACACACTTAGGCTAGGGTGATCCTTAAAATAAACATCATAAATAATAAAATTCATTTTTTTTTTAATCACAAAAAATCGACAAAATGTTGACTTTCACCAGCTATAATTCAACGCGGTTATGAATATTTATCAATAAGTTGCAACAATATGTCAAATTTATCAGATCTCAAGTCAAAATTTTTTTCCATCTTTGCGATTTTTAAACAAATTTAAAATTTTTCTAACCCAATTTTTTCTTAAGTTTTAAAATTTCCGTGGCTGTCTTTATTTTAGAAAGGAAAAAAGGCGTTCACGTAAAAGATCTGGGTGTTGTTATGTTAAGGACCACCCTCACATGTTTAATTTATATAATTTTTTTTTAAGTTTTTTATTACCGAATGTCATGACATAATTTTTAAAACTATGCAGAATTCTTTAACGCGTACATATGTATGTGCATGCATATACATATATTAGGTCAGGTCTATTTGTTTGAGAGATCTTTTCGACTATGCGCGTATATCACATAACGATGCTATGTGTAATTCTAAGTAAATTTTCCGAAGGATTCATGTGACTAAAATCAATTTGGAGTTTGCCAAATTGCGGAAATAGGTTTCTTAGCATTTTGCTGTAGTGTCGTAAAGAAGTGTTTCATTTTTGTATAAAAAAATCCTCTAAGAGGCGTTTTTGGTATGAGGAATCCATTTCTACACTTATATTATTCATAAAATTTCCACCTGAGGCCGCAATGTGAAAATTTTCACATTTTCTTCGGAACTTATTTTCGCAATTTGGCTAAGTCCAAATAGATTTTTGACCCATGGTTTCTTCGGAAAATTTTCTTAGAATTACACGTAGATTCGTCCTATGGTATACGCGCATGGTAAAGAAAAATTACCCGCCCTAATATACTTATACATATATATGTATGCATGTACATATGTACCTATAAAAATAAAATACATAAAATATATGATTTTCTTATTACAAATAATAGGCTTTGCACACATTTTTACATAGCAAAAATGGCAAAGCCACCCAAAATAAAGTACGAAAATCTTCCAAACCCAGCAGCTTTTCAATTGTAATTTTCAATTCGTTTTTTGAATGCAGCTCTCGATGCCGTCACGTGCTAATTGTCACCACTACAACTATGTATGTACGTACGTTACCAGCAGCTGCTCCAACCTTTACGACACCAAATCGATGCTACGCGCACGATTGCCTCGATAATATATACAAGTTATATGTATGTGTGCCCTCTAGCCGGCAACCCAGTATAGCCGGCAAATAGAATAATTCGGTGCCACAACAGCCTAAAGCGCCTTAACGCGTACCAAACTACGACAACTCTGTTGCATGCAGCCACTCAGACGAAACTCTCCTGTCGCGTCAAATTGAATTTAAAATTGCCTGCGCTGCTGTTGCCGCTGCCAACACGACCTCGCACAGCACCACCACCATCGCCAGCAGTGGCACTCGTACTAACCACAGTAGACTCAGCGTCAGCGTTGCTAATCTCCTTATCTCTAACCAGCGTCGTCGTTGACATCCCAGTTATATTGGCCTGCTCCTGTCTTTGGGCCTGCAGCAATTGGCGTGCCAAAAACGAAATATCTCTGCTGTGGCTGCCATCCAAAGACCAGTGTTCGCCACCTGCGCTACCACTACCGCCGCCACCGATGAGCACTGCCTGCCGGAAGAAGGCAGGCACACCGCGATGCTGCTCCAACAGTTCAATGCCCAGACTGGACTCGTGCACCAAATGTGTCAACGTATGCAGAATAGCTTTGATGGTGCGCCGCTGTGCGTCGCTCTCCGCTCGCGAATTGTAGCTTTTGTAGAACTCCGTTTGGTATGCGGACGTGATGAAATTTATGATGCTGCCATTGGCCAAGTGACTGTGGCACTTCTTGTTCACTGACATATTGTGTAACATTGCAACGATTTGCTCCTGAAAAATAGTTAAAAAAAAATATAAATCAAAATGAAAATGCTGTATTTGTATAAGGTAATGTGCTAAGTGATAAGGAAGCTTAAGAAAAGTTGACTGAATACTCGCTGGGCAGAGCGAATTAGGCTGCACCGCAAAAAAAAAATAAAAATAAAAAATCCGTTTTAGGCGCAAAGCAAACTAAAGATTCAAGAAAAATTGCCTTACAAATGCGGAAATAAATTTTATGAACTCATGCCAGACTTGGCAACCGGAAGAATGGCCGTCGTCAACAAACTGCTTACTTGCCCACCCGCGCCGTCTAACAGCGTTTCAACGCCTACGCCACGCTTAAGCATTTTGTCGTTTGGAGGCCTGACACGCGCGCACAGCAGCTCATTTCGATTGCCTTTTGCCTGCCTCTCCCTCTCTCTCTCTCTCTTTTTGCTTCAACTATATTTGCGGTTGTTTTCTTTGCCCAATAGCCACTTTAATATACAGTTTGAGAAAATGTTATTTGAAAAGCTTTCAATAAAATTAGAAATTGCATTTTTAGTAGCGACTGACAAGTGATTTATGTGCTTGGCTCCCCTGCCGCCTGCCGCCTGCCGCCTGCCGCCTACACAGTAATCCAGCTGCCGATGCGGCATATACACGTAGTAGTACGTAGGTATGTATGTATATACGTAGGTTCTCAATCAGCTCAGTAGTTCATTCATCAGTTCAATGTCCCCCGGTCGGCTTAGTCGATTCAGTCATGCGAACTACGATTTTCAAATTTTTTTCTTCTTGCTACATATTTCTCATTTAAATTGCTTTTATTTTCATCATCATCATCATCCGCTTCGCTTTCATTCACATTTCGTACACATTTGTCGCTGTGCTCAGCCTAAATGGACGAAGTGGCTTTTCTACACTTACAGACATTCTAATAGGAAATTGATTTCAAAGACATGCATGCTCATTTTTATTTATTTACATGCATATATGTACATACATACATATGCTTGTTTAGATTCTATTGCCTAATATTAATGCATGACGACATGTCCTGTTGAATTCCGTGTTGAAGTGCGTCACTTGAAATGGGAAAAGTTTTCGTATAGTGATGACAAATATCTGGCTACTTTTCCCCCCATTAAGGACAAGAAAAAATTTGTTTTGCACAAAAAGAGTGATGGGCTTAATATGCTGACCACTTTAGAACTTGATGAATAGCGCAAAATTTAACCTTTTTCATGCATTCTACAAAGGAAGTGCTGGACAAGAAAAAGATTGAAATGGAAAGTATATTTTAAGTGGGCCGTACTTGTAATTGTAGGGTGCGTTCAGAAATGCATCAAGCCAAAGCATCAGCCTCTTTTATTTCTAAACTGTAATTGATAAAAATGTCAAATATGCGCAACTGCGGTTAGAAGCCGAATTGGAACTTAGCTGCGTAAATAAGACATTTCCATCACTTATAGTTTAGAAATAAAAGATACTGATGCTTTGGCTTGATGCATTTCTGAACGCACCCAAAGTTAGTATCATCCTTAGAAGAAATTTAATAAACGAAATTGTATACTCAGCTCTGATTAAGTGTACTTCTACATACACACAGAGGAGCGGTGTTGTGCTGAAGTTGACATGTTGCAGACTCTCGATGAAGACCATAATCGCTCGCCGAAGTGTACGATTCTTTGACCTAAGATATGTGAATATCTCCTCCAGGAATTCATCCGGCAGCATACAGCATTTGCAGTTCGCAGCTGTAGAAAGTCCATTCTTTCCAAGGTGTTATCTAAACTTGCAGTGGTGCCCTGTCATGTTGACTGTGAGAGTTCTCTAGAGGAAGTTTTAAATTTCCTAGACTGCTGTTCTACCTTTGTCATTCGTTACTGTGCTGTAGGCTGAGAATCCTCCTACTTACATACTTAGCAGCCCTAGTGTGTATCCTTTTGATATACTACTGAGGGGATGTTCAGTCCTGTTCAGGCTGTAATGGCTACCACATTTTACGAGAGCGTCTGCTCTTTCGTTGGTAACAAAACCCTCATATCACTGTAGCCATCAAAGCCTGACCCTGTTCTGCATACTTGATTGGTTTAGTATAGTTTTGCTTTTCATCGTAAGCCTTGATGTACAAAGGGGCATTACTTTTCAAAGGAAGCCCTCTTCTCGCCAAAATCTTAAAGTTTTAAAATTTTAATAAGTAAAGTACTTTTTAATGCCGAGTGGTGTTTTTCACGATTCAAAATGGCGGATCCAATATAGCGGCTAATTTTAAAAAATTCATTGTGTCCAGTGTTAATTATCAAAATTGGCGACCCCTAAAACCCTCGAGTGACAAGTTCCCGAGTTATCTGAGAAAGTTTTGAAAAATTATCCGCCATGTTTGGTTCCATTTTGAAATTTAAAAAACTGCCGACTAGCAAATTTAATAATTTTTTAAAAATTAGCCACCATATTGAATTTTTAAAAACGTCAATCGGTATAAAAAAGTTAATATTTTTATTAAAATTTTAAAGCCTTTTCCTTTTTTATTTACCTAAACCAAATTTGTCAAGAAGGGAGCTTGCGTGCACCCTCTACGAGATGATAACTTCGGTGGCATTTTCCCGGTGAACTTGATGATGGGATCGCTAAGAAATGATTTGAAAATCACTCTATGCTCTTGAAGGTCTCCACTCTTTATGCTTCCTCAGTCGCTAATTCGCAAAGCGCGCCAGGAACCCACGTCTACACGTTTAAGTTTTAGGCTGCCAGACAGCTTCCAGCAAAGACCCTCCACTGGCACTTTTGTCAAATTACGATTCATCCATCTAAAAGTTTACCGATGCCTTCTATCTGGTTATGGCTCCCGTCCACTCCAGTCTCTAGCCTCGCAGTAGTCCGTATTTTGAGGGATAAAGTCGAAGGCACCAAGGATACTCGAGCTAAACTAAGTAAAGTGCCTTACATACGATCTCGATTGTCACTATTTCAAGCATGCCGTTAAGTACCAGAATGCGCTTGGTTTGAAGATCTTCACTGCTTGTTATGAGGGTCCACTGTACCCACTTCCGGCTTTTGTGGCCTTCTGTCTTCGTTACAGGTCAAATTGCCCTTGAGTGAGATCATAAAGGGTATCAAGAAATTTACTCTCTCTAAACATACAAGTCCACATAGGCAACCACTCAGCAACCTCTACTCCCAGCTTTCAAACTTTGGTTCAATTTGGGTGTGTCAAATAAGAAGAGATCTCAAACTGATTTCAAACTGAATTTTGAGCCCTTTTAGAGATGCCAGAAACAAAACCCGCTTACCTAAATAAATTTTTCTGCTAAGAATAATACTTTGTTTTTACACCTATAAGAAGCTATGACGGAATCCCCGTACTTACATATATACAACGTTCTAAAACTCTTGTGCTACTTACATATAAAAATATTGATGTCTCCTCCCCTCGTCCCTGCACCACTGCTATCAGCTTAAATATCGCCTCATTCGACATTATCGAGTAGTGCGATGTCACCTCAATGCGACTGAGATTATTCAACGCTGCTGCGCATAGCAACAGCGTCTGCGCACAGTCGGTGCTCGTTATCAACTGTGTCAGTCCCTCGACAATAATCTCTGCACATGCCTTTAAACCGTCAACTCGATGCTCAGGCCCATGCCAGGCTGCGGTGATTTGTGTTAACAGCGAAACAGCTTCACGTCGCTCTAAATCTCGGCGTCTCAATTCACCTGACCGTTCTCTGCCCGGTACTTGCACGGTATCGCGCACGATCTCTATGCCACCGCAGGCGCCTAACTGCGCAATAGCCGCCGGTGAGCAACAAATTGTAGCCAACGCACGTAAGGCTAGCGCGCGCACCGAAGATAATTTATTCTCCAGACAAACGATGAGCAGAGCGCGTACAGCTTCGTTCTGCACAAAGGCATCTGTGAGTGAAGCGAAACCCTGGTAGTCGATATTCATCAAGGTGGCTATCATATTAATGTTGGCGCGCAGCATAAGATCACACTGACCCTGCTCTACGCTCTGCACTATAATGCGCACCATCTTCTGGAACACTTGCCGCACACTGATCAGCAAATAGCGCTTAAGCACTTGCACATCATCCAATAGCGATTCCAAATTGATGTAGTGCTGACGTTCGAGCGAGTATCGCGTATCTTTGGTGATTATGCGTATCTGCTCGATATTTTCCTCATATCGCTTGCGATCAACGCGCGACTCATTGAAAAAAACCGCGCGTCGTTCGAGTACCTGCGTAAACTCCGCCACATTCGCAACAAGCTGCTCAGCGCTGGATAGCGCTTCATGTAGCGTAGCTTCTTGCGCCCCTGATAGTATGCGTTCGACGCGCTCGAAATCTGATTGCATGCAGAGCGCGCGCTGTTGCAGCTGGCGTATCAGCTTGGCCACTGTGTTTGTGGTAATTGTCAAATTCTTGAAAGCTTCCTGTGCAATAGACTTGGTTTGTAGCGTTGACATTACTTCCTGCTCGTATGAATAACGCAAATCATAAAGCCAACGTTGCAGGTCACACATACGACCGTTCAGCAGCGGAGTTGTGTACTCCCGTGCCACCTGGCGGAGAGACATTTGGATCCACGAACGCGCATGTTCGCTTGGTGATGCTTTTGGCGTACTCGTGCTGGCCAAGTAACGCTGCTCATCTACTTTCAGCGGCGACATTGTCTTATCGAGTTCATCTAATTTGAGTGTGTTGTTGTTGGTGTCCTCACAGGAAGCACTGGTGATTTCACCACCGGCACCCAAAATCATAGTTTCATTGTTGTACGGCTTGGTAGTGGGAGATGTACAAGATACACCTAAATAGACCGTTTCATTGTTGTAGGCTGGCACAATGTGCAAACGAGTACGTGAACGATTACGCTCTGCTGATCGGTCAAGCTCATCAAACGAATTGCTTGTTACATCACTGCCAGCACCGCCTTCTTGGTCACTAATGTCAGTCTCTTCCAGAAGAGTGCGCCGTTTTGTGGGCGACAATGGCTTTGTTGGCTGGCGACTAATGCGACGTCGACGTTTCGGCTGCTGCTGCTGCGCCTGTTGTGGGGCGGCAACTGCTTGTCCGCCACACGTATTTGCATCATCAAAATTTAATTTCTTCGCAGCACTCACGGCCTCATTCATCAACGATTCAGCGGCAGTCAACTGTTTCGGCGAAACTTGCGTTGCAGCTTTTAAACCGCTGCCAGAAATGGCGGCATCCAGTGTTGCGGCTGTGGCAGGTGAACCGGAAAATGATATGCGACGGGATACGTTCACCAACGGTGAATAGAATTCTGACTTTCCAACTCGTCGAATAACTGTGGGTGGTGTCTCCACTGTCAGCGAACGTACGGAATTCGGTGAACCGACTACACTGCCGGTGGACTTTGAGCTGGGCGAGGCAGGTTTGGATGAACGACCACCAAGGCTGCGACCACTATGCGATTCATCATTGTCAGAGAAACCAGAGTCCTGCGAAGTGAATGAAAGGTATAAAGTGAGCAGTGTTTAGTAACAATGTATCTGCATAATTTTGAGCAAGAAATTTGTGCACTGAATGGCAAGACAATACTGGATTTGTTATCATTCCGCATATAACAATGTGATTTCACTCACCTGACTGCGCATACTACCGGGGCTATCACGTTTGCCCCACGATAACTTGGAGCTGTTGTGCTCATCGTCGACTTCCTGTATGCGCGATAAATTCCCCACATACGAGCGAATGCTGCCCGAATCGAGCGAATGGTAGCCGCCACTGTGGTTATTGTATTGGAAACGCTGCGCATTCAATTGCTGCTGTGTCTTCTGGGAAAACTGTGAACCGTAGTAGAAGCCGCCACTTGTAAAGCTAGTACCATTTGTTAAGGATGTAGCACCGCCAGCCGCTGAGGATAGTGATAAAGATGAGGGTAGTTGCTGGTTGTCGGAGCCCCACCACACTTTGCTATAACTGCGTTGAAAAGCCATATTTTGATTTGGTTTTTTTTTTTGGTAGAATACAGATTGATAGAACACTGTAAGTAAGCAAAGAGAATACAAGAATTTATAATTAATATTTCGTAAGAAATTTTAATGTAGGAAATTAAAATGAATAATTCATAAGTTACACTGTGCTTGGATTTCCAAATTTTTGACAAAGGTTATGATAGTTGACCTCAACTGATTGGCGCCCTCTTAATTCAATGGCGCCCACCGATTTGTCAGATTGGTTCCAGTTTTCGAGATAACCGTATTAGAAGTTTTCCCTCTGGGCCGCTGAGAGCTCATTTAGAAACAATTCAAAAATGTTGAAATAGAATACCGTTTAAATCTTAATATAGTTATAAACTATACGATGCAAAACCCCATTCGCAATACATTTTTATACCGTTCTTATTAATTTTTTTAATATCTCAGTAAGAAAGTAACCAGGGTATTGCCTTATATGTATCTGGGGGCGTTCCATACCAAAATGGACGCGGTTCACACTTCATGTGCTTGATTTTTTCAAAATTTTAGGGTTGATGGATAAAAAATAAGTTTCGTTCCTCAAATTTTCTGGATAAAACCTGTAAAACTGTCAAAAAGCAAAATTGCTCTCAGAGAAAGAGAGAAAAACCAAAAAGTACAGGAACGCATTTCGGGTAAAAACTGGTAAAACCGTCAAATACGCAGTGGACGCTATTTTTGGTTTACAGTTTGCAGTTTTTTCATCATTTGGCAATCTTCCAAATTTTGCTCAAATACACCAGCAAATTAACAAAAATTCTTACAAAACTTGATATTTCTTCGCAAGCATATATTTATTTAGGTCAAAATGCAGATGCACTTTTGTTTTTGCTTATTAAAATTTGAAATCATTTAAGCAGCTGATGGTTTGACACTTTACCAGATTTTTCCAGCAAAAATTCTTTGGGTTAAATCTTGCAACTTCTGACAAAGAGAGGACCGATTTTACTCTACCATTTTTCCCCTAATTTGCCAGAGAACCGCGTACGGGAACGCTTTCTGGTAAAATTCTGTAAATTCTTGCAACTTCTAATAAATATATATGAAGCTTGAGCTTGGTTAATACATTTCTAAAAACTTTACAGCACAAACACAAATCCATTTAATAGTTTTCCAAATATCTCGAGAACGGGACGAAGAAAAAATTAAAAAAAAAAAATTACACATACACACATCAAAAATTCTCTATGAAAAGAAATATCAAAAAATATTATAGGAAAAATTTTTCACATAAAAATTTTTTTATAAAAATAATTACTTTTTGAAAATATGCCATCTCAAAAAAAAATTTTAAACAATAGCAATGACAGCTCTGAGTATTGCGCAATATTTAAGTATAGTATTATGGGGTGCTCTCTACAATAATTTGAGTTATGAATTTTTTTTTACACCAAAGTTAAGTAAAATGAGTATATTACGAATTAAATTTTTTTTTTAATTTTTGAAAACTGTCTATCTGTTTTTAATATCATTCTGCAAGCCTGCAAATACATTAATTATTGAAATAGTAGTCGAAAATGTCGCCCTTTCCATAATTCCAGTCCCCTTAGTCGAAGATCAGCTGATTTGGTAAAAAGTCGGTTCAATAACGCACTATCTCAGCTGTCGTTTCAAAAACTCGGAGAAAAAAACTAATTTGTACTGGGTGGAGCGATCAAAATGGCTTTTATATTTTTTTCGGTTGATTTAAGTTTGACAAAAACTTTATTTTTGTTAGTTTTTCATCATTCCTCATCTTTTTCTCATATGTACATATGTACATAAATTTAATTAAAAAGTCATATGCCTGATGTACAAACATACATATAGGAATTCATATGCAGGCGTAGTGGAGTGCTGAGTGCATTTACAAATATGTACTATAATTCCACCTGAACGACTTCAAGTACATAAGTACTTGTTTGGTACATACATATGTACATACATACATAAATAGTATTGCACAAGTCGGGCGCCTACTTTTCCATTTTTCGTATTGCAACAGTTTTGCCGACACTTCACAAGGCACTCACTCAACTTTGATTCCATTTGAAGTGTTGCAGCTATACATAGCAACAGTTGGACTACCACCAGCTGTGCCAATTGAAGTTATTGGTCGTATTATGGTAAAAATTGGCATTTTATTGGTTTCCCCATTATCCAACGCGTCTCTTTGCTGGCTGATGAGGGGAGCGAAACGAAAAGGACGCGCGCACAAATTGAACTGCGGCTGGTCTTCTAGTGTGCGATATAACGGGTGATTTTTTTGAGGTTAGGATTTTCATGCATTAGTATT